TATAATCTATTTTTCGAATTAAGTATTGTTTTCGTCACTAACAGTAAATCAGTAATATGAGATGTATATACCCGATTTCATTTAAGGGGATCATGAACTGGTATTATAATTTTTCTACAATGATATGAGTAGAGCTGACGTTTCCATTGAATTTCTACTACCAGTCCTTCATCAGCTTAAACGAAATTGAGTGAATACATTTTATATTACTGATTTACTGGTAGTCACGAAAACAATACTTAATCCGAAAAATACTAAATTGTTGTTGGGCAACTGTTTAATCGCCCAAAAGTAGGTGTTGCAGGTAGGCACAACATCATAATGCTATATCTTCTTTATTGACTTTGGCGTTTTCTTGCTCATCTAAACTCGTTGCTCAGCACGTTGGTGGTATGTAGCAAAAGGGGTCCTTTTAACTATGATCCTGCCACACTAAACATATGTAATATATAACAATGCATTGAATGACTTCAATGTTAAATGTATTTTAGCATACCAGCAATAGGTGGCATGGATTCGGCGATATTTTTGGTTAACCTGCTACATTAATGCCTGTCTTCTCAGGTAAGCTTGTTTATAAGCGGCCGATTACGACCTGCCTAACTGCGATAGAATCATACTCGTGAGTTCGACAGACATTCTTACTCACTAAATGTTTGTTATTTTTCGTTTTATAAGCACATTTTCGAGACTAATAATAGATCATAAATATCAGCTTTATTTACCCTTTTACGTTTATGATTACAAGGGAATTGCAGTTGAATTTTCCCACAATTACATGATGAGACCCTACGTTTCTATTGAATTTCACATAGCCCCACTTCTCAAAAGGTATTCTCATCACGGATAAGATGGACCTCGTCTAAATTGGTCTTATCAGCACCTCCAGCGCTACACGAAGCAAGACGGTACGGTGTATAATTCCGACACATTAGCCACTACGCCACATTGCTATGAGTGCCCTTGGACCACAGGAAAGATGGGAAATTCAAGGAAAGCAAGGCATTTTCCCATATCACATCGTGTGGTGGGATTTTCGATGAACAAAGTTGTATTTGCTATAGCAATAGACTACATTACTTATTTTTTGTTGTATACGTAGGTTTTTACGTGTACCAATGGATCATATATATATATATATATTAATGAAATAGGATAAATACATCTAATATGTATTACCTGCTGATAGTCTCGAAAACCTACTTATAAACGAAAAATAAGTAGCGTAGTCGATTCATATAGCAAATACAATTTTGCTTCATCAGCACTTCCATCACAAACCGCGATATGGGAAAATAAATACCTGGCCTCCCTTGAAACTCACATCTTCCCTGTGACCCAAGGGCAATCGTGGCCATGTGCTTTATTGGTTGACATGTTCAAGTACCACTGAAGGCGAGGTCCCACCTGCAGCCAACTCCTGCCTGAATGAGAATACTCTTTGGGAATAAAGGGCTATGCGAAATTTAATATAAACATAAGACCTAGTTATATCATTGTGGGAAAATTTAGCCGTCAATCCTCTAATCCCCTTAAATGAAATAGGGGGACTCCATCTCACGAACTTTTATTCTCTATCATATTTGCTCTGGTGTCCAGTAACAGGAAGTGATAATGTGTTTATCACAAATGTTTCCTTTATTTCCACTTTTGTTCTGCTAGGCAATTGGTTCTTGCTTTATTGAAGCTTTAGCAGAATGCTTGTCTACGACTCTCTTCTTTCCGTCCATTCTGATGAGACTTTGCTCATCATAACACGCCTCCATTTGGACGTAGCCTACTCTCAATTTTGCAGTTATTTGTCAAATAGATCCCTCATTAGGGCTGTCTCTATCCTCTGCCATTTGTTTTACTTTCATTTTTCTATTCTGTTCTCTTTCATCACATTTGGGCATCGTTCCCACTCCAGGACCTGCTTCGCACAATGCCGCACAACATCTGCTTCAACTGCCTCGACTCTACTGGCACCGCTCGGCTTAGGCGGATTTTGCGTGCTCTTGCTTGGTTATACGTTGACATTGGTTACTGCCAAGGGATGGGAACGGTAAGTTGATGCGGGCGCGATTGTTTCATTCTCCAATTAAATGGTTCGACGAATAATTCACAATGACTGCCAAAATAGTCGGCTTCCTAATTTAATAAAACCATATGGAATTTATTTTCAACTTCAATGAGTTGGCCAGACTTTCGCTCATGTACGATTAGTGTAAAAGTTTGAAAAGGGCTTAGTTTTTTGTCATTGCATGAGAGTGGTACCTAAACCGATCTATCGCTTATACTGATCAAATAGATTTAGAGACGACTGCTAGCAGATGTTTAAAGATTTGAGTCTTCCTGGCTCAGTTCGGATGATATTAGGACTGATGGTGTAGGGCCTTCCACTTACTTTCGGGTGGGCACTCCGACTATGAGTTCCTTCATCATCATGGGCGACCTAACGAGCCTCGGATTCTTAGCCTCACGATTGCATAATTATTTAAAATAATAGCTATCCACACTTCCTTTGAGTTAAATCGCTTTTTAAATTTTTCTTCAGCAACACAAGGTTCGGAAGCGTCTATTTATTTATTAGTTAGTCTTCAAATAATTAATCATATAAAAACAAAGTAAGCTTGTTTAAGAATTCCCTTTTAATTTTTATGTATCTTTTATATTACGAATAGTTATTGCAGAGGGACTCATTCAGACAAAATGGGCATCAGTACATTCCGGAATGATTTGTAATCATTTGAGAAATAAACAGGTTTGTTCCAAGAATTTGCCAAAATCAACAGAATCTGTCTTTTTATATTGTAGACAAAAGGTGGAATCTTACTCTTAATACTTTTTCATACTTAATGATGACCTAAAGTTGATACGCGTAATTCTTGATCAACGCTCCCAATCTCATCTCATCTCATCTCATTTAGTCTCATCTCATCTCATCTCATCTCATTTCCTCCCATCTCATTTCATCTCATCTCATCTCATTTCCTATTCGTCTCAACTCATATCATCACATCTCTCT